ATATACATACATATATATACACAAGTAAAAATACTTGTACTTTGAAGTATTCTTCTCAAAAACTGAGTATCATTTACTTTTTAACTGTTGATGTTTAATAAATTATCAACATAATAAATTTTTCCATTAATACATTTTGTCTGTTAAATCATTCTAAAAATGTTTTTGAATGCGTTGTAATTAGTATAAATGCTTTCCAATGCACTGGAAACAATTAGTTTCATTAATTTATCTCCATTTGGTTTTTGTTTCTACAACAAAATAGTAGCTGCCGAGCTTCATGGCATGCTCTGTCGTGCTCCAGACAGACTCGGTAGAGGATTACATAGTGTAGTTCATAAGTATAAGTAAGTAAGAATACAGGCTAGAAAAAATACTCAAGTACGCCACAAGATGATTTGATTACAGTAACATGGGTACATACACATACACACACACACTTTACCTTCTATATTTGTAAGGACCTTCAATGACAATGCAGTCCTCTACCTTTTACATTAACCTACACCTCTTTACCCTCAAGCAGCCCTTTGAAGAAGCCAGGACTAAATGTCCTCACTTTCCAAAAACATCTTTGCTCTCTAACGGTCCTCACAAAGACAGAAGTACAAAGTCCAACACACACAAACACATGTATGCAACCAGAATAGGCTGTCTTATTTAGTTCACACATCTATAAATACATATGTACAGAGTATTTGTTTTCCTCTGAACATTGTGACAGCACGCAAGAATGTGTATGTGCACGTGTACACAACAATTACCACAACGTGAAATGTAGTAATGGTATGAAAATATGTGTGCACAGCACCTCCAAGTATGTGTGGGTGTTTGGCTGAGAGGTGAAAAGGCGGCACTGTGGATTAAAGGGGTAAATGGCTAAAAATAATTCAAGGACTTTTGGAGGAGACATTCCATAAATGATGGGTGAGACGGTGAGGTCTTTTTATCTGCTTTGACCCTTCTTGTCTCACTCACAGACAAACACACACACACTGAGCAGACCAGACCGTGACAAGTGAAGCTAGATAACATCCAAACAGCATAAGAGTGCTAAGATTTTGTCACTCTGTTTTGCCCATTTTTCTTTTTTCTTATCCAAAGTGTCTGAGAATAGAGGGTGTTCTGCTGCTCAGATAGTAAAGCCCCTTGAGGAAACTCTGTGATACTGGGCCATGTATATCAAATTGACTTGACACGTAAAAGAAATAATAGGGAGAAACCAGGGATGTAGAGTATCCAACATTTTAGAAAATACTGACATTTTGCTTGTCAACATTTCGAAATAAGAAAAACAAAACAGAAATACTGACATCATGTGGAAAAGTCTATTTTTTTATCGTATTGTCAATAAAAATGTTCATTATAATTTCCCAGGGCCAATGATGGCATCTTTAGTTCCTATTTTCTCTGACTAACAGTCCAAAACCCAAAGAAACTCTGGTTACTATCATGTCTGACAAACGGTTCTCGACATTTGAGGAGCTGAAATCAGACAATGTGTGGCATTTAAGCTTGAAAGAAGAAATTGAAATAGTTACTAATTCATTGTCTGTCAGTTGACTCATCGCTTAATAGACTAATAGACTTTCAGCTCAACATGACTTCTACATCCTTGACAGAAACCATCAATCCAATAAACGTAATAATAAATAACAAATAGGGAAAGGTTTTTTTTTATTTTTTTGTGTAAAAACAAGAGATGAAGGGAGGGGATAAGTGCTGCTCAAGACAGATCAAAAGTTTTCATGTTGAGAGGAGAAACCTTTGAACTGAGAGAGACAGACAGCAAATAGAGAGGGGAAAAAAACGACAGAGAATTGATTTCATCCTCCCGTCGAGGCGAGGAGGCAGAAGAGCGTGTCCCCAAAAGGTTTGGTTAAGAATATGGGAATGAAAAAGAAAGGCGTGGAGAGGTAGATAAAGACAGCCAGGGGATGGAGACTGATGGTGATGGAGTGTGGGATGTAGCTGTGTGTGTGTCCATATCTTTCCATGAGTTTGGGCTGTAACCCACTGAGAACGATCAGATTAATGCCCGCCAAGATTGAATCACTGGCTCCTTTGTCAGCTGCAGTTCACTTCAAATCCAGCATCACCAATTCAATTCAAACTTCGAAACTTTGTCCCAAACCTTTTGTTGTGTGTGTGTGTGTGTGTTGGCTTGTTAGTGGGCCAACTGTCAAAAATCATTTTTCCAAACTACTATTCTCAGGGTCAAGATTGAATTTTCCCACAGATAAGTGTTCTTGGCATTTATGAAAAGCATTTCCCACAATGCCTTATGTCACCAATAAAAAATCATAGGGAATAAAGACACATTCATAGGAATATAGGATTTGCTTATTTTTCAACTCAAACATTTCAAACAGATTTTGTCCACAAAAAGCTTTAGAAAGATGTGATAATGACTGTAACATTACTCAAAAGTAAATTACACTTTTATGGTAGCAAATGTTTGTGATCTCAGGTGTGTCATTTTTCAAACACCAGTGAGACACCTGTAGAACACAATGTAGTCCAATACAATAGCCAATAGATCCTACAAGTGTGAAGCTTGTAATGACTTTCTGACACTGTGGAGGTGTTGCTGTTTTGAATTGTATTATATTGTCAGGTGCTTCTTTCTTTTTTTCCTTTCCTTAATGTATGATTGTGAGACAGCAGAAAATACAAAGAAGCAGGAAGCAGAACAGTTAGTAAGTGGGAATTTCAATCATTTTCTCCGTGTTCTAGGTCCAGTCGACATTACACGGAGAAACCTTTTTCTCATAAAGACTCACCTTTGTAGTAGAAGAGACAGAAATCAGCCAAGACGAACCACTTCCTCTTCCAAAGACGCATCCCAGAACTGTCCTGAGAGAGAGAGAAAGAGGGACAAAGCATAATGAAGGAAGGAACAATGGGACAGAAAGTAGCACAGATTGAGGAGATAAGAAGAAAACGAAGACAGAAATCTAAATAGGAAGAGAGCGGGGGGGCTATGAGAAAGATGAAGAGAGAGTTAGGGATAGAAAAGTAGTGTAGTAAGGGACAGCAGATACAGTAAGGAAACCGAAGTAATGAAAGCAAAAATAAGGTGCACATGAGCAGAGATAAAGACAGGGAACAGCAAAGAGGGGGAGGAAGGGAGAGATCATTTGTCCTTGTTCACTGGCTCGCTGGGCCTGCCACGGCTGCTTTACTGCCTGTTTTGTCTTTTATGTTCTCTGGCTGAAAATCGTGCCGTTTGAAGAGGAGAGGACATACAGAAGGAATGAAGTCACCTTAAACACAGATATATGCTTCTTCTTATGATTCTACAACCATGTTTCCCTGTGATAGTGACGTACGTGATAGTGTGTATCTGTGTGTATAGTTTATGTGTGCATCTCCACCAGCATTTAAAGTTTAAAGTTTTTTCTAATGAAAACATAATTGCATTGCAATAACAGACGTGTGCATATGAGCGTCTGTGGCTGTGCATTTAGCCGTGTGCACATTCCTGCCTGTGCCTGCGCGTATTTGTGAGTATGTGCCTCAGTGTGTGGTCATTAAAATATAATTGCTTCGCAGTAACATCACTCACTGTTTGTCTTGTACTAAGGCCAAGCTTTTTGCAGTGGGACGACGCCAACTACGGATATTTTAAGTACAACTTCAAATACAAATAGAGTCTCCAGTAATAGCCTTTCTGTGATCACCAGCAGGTGCTCTATATTGCCAAAGCAAAAAAAAAAAAAAATTATCAAGAAAAAAATAAAACTAGGCCACTGGAGGAAATGTTACAGGGCCGTGCAGGCTGAAGCTGGAACTGGTCGTGGTAGTGTGTTAAAGAGACACAAACTTGCCCGACTGTCTGTCAGGCGTGTCAGGCGGAAGGGGCATGCGTTGTTTCAGCTTTTTTGCTTACATTGGAGCAATTATATGAATAAATTAGCTCATTTTAGGCCCCACATTTTAGGCCGTATCGGAGGGATTTACGATACTGGTATCGGTATGGGAACAACTCTACCTTAATGAAGGGACCTCCCTACATAATAATTAATTAGATATTTAATCTTTGGCTTCTTCCACACTGGAGGTGACATTCTATTTCACACTTACTTACTTCAGTTCAACAAGGCCTAAACTTGCCGGCTGTCCGACTGGCAGACCAGACTTTGCCATGTGGGTGGTAGGCCCGCATGTCATCTCTAAATTCAATTATGCTCATAACTTATGATCTTATTTCAGTAATCAGAAAGGGTTGTTTACAAAGGGTTCAGAGTCTTTAGAATATGTCAGTCCAGTAAATACAGTGAATATCACAGTGCAAACCCAGTTAAATGCAATCTTGATTTGTATGTATGCTAGAATGAGTTTTCAGTCTGTGTGTGTGTGTGTGTGTGTGTGTGTGTGAGTGAGTGAGTGTCCTGACCTGTTTGTACAGCCATCCTCGGACCACCACAGGGACATTTGGATTTCTTTTAATGGCCTGTTCTCTCTTCCCAAAGCTGTGCACCTTGCCACTGGACCGGGAGCCCTGAAAGACACACAGACAAGTACAGAAGGCATGAGCTGTAAGAAGTAAGAAGACAAATTCCTCAGCAATGGCTACGAATAGCTGACAGATGACGTCAACAATTTCATTGCATCTAAAGAATATGGATTACATATGTACATGTGACTGAGAGTGTGATCATTTTGTCACGTATCAATCAACTGTTATTTGTTATAGCGTCAGCTTGATGATCAATTAGCTAAGCAAACATTTGCTCAGTTAGTCTTTATACATCCAATTTGCTCAGCAGCAAAGTTGTGTTGAATCTTAACATTAGCATTTGCGGAGCTATATTAAGTTGCTCAATTAACTTAATCTGATAGCACCGAAGCTAATCTTTAAGGTTTAACAAGATCAATTATTCTCTGCAGCCGATCTGCATTTGAAAAGCCTGGGACCAAGAGCAAGTAGGTTTTGTGTGTCACAGTAACTTATATTTGGGAACACGCTGTCTATGCCTCATTAGACCATTCAGTCTCACTTACAACATTACTGAATGGACCTGCACCCACACCGTGATTATCTTTTTTTCCAGGTACCTCTCTTTTTCTGCCCCAGTTGTTACATAATTACAGCCATTATTTAAGTACTGACAATTTTCCACTGGACCTCCAATACAGTGTCAGCCACAGTTGCCATGGCATTTGTCAGACACTGACAATAGGGGAGGAGGTTAGAAAAGTGGGCTTGTGACCTGCGGGTCAGTGGTTCGACTGCCAGACAGACACCTGCTGGAACGTCTGGGCAGTGAACCTGAACAGCAACCATCAAAAAGAGTTGTTTCTGTGTCAGCACTGCTTGCTGAAAAGGCGACTTTTGCTTCTTCCTGCAATCCCTGGCCAGCGCACGGCTAATGGAAGTCAACATCTGCAGCTTTAAACAGAAAGTCTGCCAGCTGACTTTACTGGAGCAACGCAATGTTAACAACGAGTGGCTAACTCTGCAGAGCAACGAGCGAAACGCCTTTTCCTCTTGCTACCTGCACCAGTGGACATCGCACAGCAGAGA